AAAGATCAAAGATGCAATGGAAGAGGCATCAAAAGGAGAAGATGGTGTTTTACTCCCAGATGACAAAGAAAGCATCACAAAGTTCATCAATAACATGAGACAAATTCTGAAAAAAGACCTGCTCATTTCAGAGGAGGCTGAAAAAAGCACCCTGTTTCAAATACAAAGCACCAGCAAACCATTCATCAACAGTCTCAGGAAGTCTGTAAAGGATCTGGAAAAAGAAAAAAAAGAACTTCATGATGAATTCTCCAAATCTAAAGACATCAGTCAGACTCTGCTTGGTCTTCCAGTGAAACCACAGGATGAGCTTTTCAAACGGGTGTTTGGATGTGGCAAACTGTGTCCATTCTGTAAAACTCCCTGTGAGGCTGGTGGCAAAGAACACAAAGATCACTGGGCTGCTGTGCATCGACCACAAGGTCTTGGAAGATTTAGATATGAAAGCAGTGATAAACTGGTTGAAACTCTCTGTACAACTGATGTGCAGAGTGAACGTAGATTCAGAAACACTGAAACTGAAGGGATATGGCATCCATACAAAGATTACACCAAATATTATCCAGACTGGCATATTCCTCCTGACCGTACCATAGAAGTGTCAGACTACTGGAAGTTCATTCTGGTCAAATATAATAAGCAGTTTGCTGAAGAATATAAAGCAAAGCCAGCCGATGTTCCACAGGCCTGGAAGAAAATAACAAAAGAAGATGCTCTGAAAGGGTTAAAGGATGCTTTCAACGTGAAGTAAAGACAGTCCTTGTAAATAGCTTTAAAAAACGGGGTCACTATAAAGGAGCAGTCTGTGAGGCACACAGTTTACATGCAAGTCTGCGGTTATCAGGTTTTTTATTATTTGAATTTATTCCTATGGACAAGAAAACATACTGTGGCCGACCTTGTGATTTACAAGTTTTTTTTTCTTTTAATCCATAAAACTTATATCTTTCAAACAGTTTTCTGCTTTAATTTGATCGTTTTTGTTAGTATCAAACACATTTTTTCTGCCAATGAAACCATGTGAGTCCAGAAAGATAACATGAGAGAAATTTTAAACAAGTCTGTGGTTTCATGTTTTTTTTGTTGAATTTTTTCCATATAAAAAGGAAAACATACTTTTGCCAACATTATGATTAACATGAATATCTTTTTCTAAGACATATATCTTTGTTCTTTCTAACCTTTTTTGCCTTAAATTGATCATTTTTGTTAGGATCACTGATTTTTCTGC